ACGGCTGCTGTACCTCCAGCCCTGAACCTGTGGACACGTGCACAGCTTAGAAAACTCTCCCCCCGATGAGAAACAGGGTTTTTTCCTGACTTTAAGACTCCTTTAGTGTAGTCAGACACAACAGTTTCTCTGATTTTTACATTTCTGAGTAATAAACAAACAAACAAAAGGTTTGACATTGAAGATGATCTGCACATTGTTCATTTAAAATATTAGATTTTAAAGAGCTGAAACCACAGGGATCCACCTGGATCGCAGTTCCTGCAGGGAACACACTGCTTCATGGCGTTTGGTTTGTCCATAAACGTTCCAGATGTGCAGGGAACACACAGCGTGCTGCTGGCCTCTGTGCAGTCGGATCGGACTCGACTTCCTGTTGGACAGCAGAATAAACACTAAAAACAAGCCGTCTTATCCAGAGACAACATTAAATATCGAATGTTGTCTCATTTCTGCATTTTTTCATGTATGTTGCTGATTTACTTTAGCTGTGACCAAATACATTTCCTATTTGTACTCTGGATCTGGTTTATTCTCATAATCCAGCTAAAGAATCGGGCAGAAAAGGTTTAAAAGGTTACCTGCACCTGGGGCTGAGCCTCCTGGTTCTGGCCCGGTTCTGAGTCCGGTAGGACCCGGTTCTGACCTGGTTCTGACACTGGTTCTGACCCGGTCCTGACTCCGGTTCTGACCCGGTTCTGAGTCCGGTTCTGAGTCCAGTTCTGACCCGGTCCTGAGTCCGGTTCTTAGTCCAGTTCTGACCTGGTTCTGACCCGGTTCTTACCCGGTTCTGAGCCGGGTTCTGACCTGGTTCTGACCCGGTCCTGAGTCCGGTCCTGACCAGGTTCTGACTCCGGTCCTGAGTCCGGTCCTGACCCGGTTCTGGCCCGGTATTGACTCCGGTTCTGACCCGGTCCTGAGTCCGGTTCTGAGTCCGGTTCTGACCCGGTTCTGACCCGGTTCTGGCCTGGTTCTGACCCAGTTCTCATTCCAGTTCTGACCTGGTTCTGACCCGGTTCTGAGTCCGGTCCTGAGTCCAGTTCTGACCCGGTTCTGACCCGGTTCTGGCCCGGCTCTGACCCGGTTCTGACTCCAGTTCTGAGTCCGGTTCTGAGTCCAGTTCTGACACGGTTCTGACCCGGTTCTGAGCCGGTTGTGAGTCCGGTTCTCACCCGGTTCTGAGTCTGGTCCCGAGTCCGGTTATGGCCCGGTCCTGAGTCCGGTTCTTAGTCCAGTTCTGACCCGGTTCTGACCCGGTTCTGACCCTGGTTCTGAGTCCAGTTTTGACCCGGTTCTTACCCGGTTCTGACCCGGTTCTGAGTCCGGTAGGACCCGGTCCTGAGTCCGGTTCTGAGTCCAGTTCTGACCCGGTTCTGACCCGGTTCTGACCCTGGTTCTGAGTCCAGTTTTGACCCGGTTCTTACCCGGTTCTGACCCGGTTCTGAGTCCGGTAGGACCCGGTCCTGAGTCCGGTTCTGAGTCCAGTTCTGACCCGGTTCTTACCCGGTCCTGAGTCCGGTTCTGAGTCCAGTTCTGACCCGGTTCTGAGTCCGGTTCTGACCGGTTCTCACCCGGTTCTGACTCCGGATCTGACCCGGTTCTGACTCCGGTCCGGCTCATGTTTGTTATCCTCCTCCTCCGGTTATTATTTGGATCCGTCTCTCCCCGGATCTTCTCCGGTTTGCATGTCCGGGCTGTAATTGGCTCTATCTCCTCACCCGCGGGAGCGCGCGCTCCCTGCGCGTGCACGTGACGTTCACGGACGTCTGTGGCCATGTGGAACTGAAATACAGGACTGTCTCAGAAAATGAGAATATGGTGATAAAGTTCTTTATTTTCTGTAATGCAATTAAAAATCATGAAATGTCATACATTCTGGATTCATTACAAATCAACTGAAACATCGCAATTCTTTTATTGTTTAATATCGCTGATTATGGCTTACAGCTTAAAAAACCCAAATATCCTATCTCAAAATATTAGAAAATCGGATATTTGAGTTTTCTTCAGCTGTACGCCATAATCAGCGATATTAAAACAATAAAAGGCTTGTGATATTTCAGTTGATGTGTAATGAATCCAGAATGTATGACATTTCATGTTTTTTAATTGCATTACAGAAAATAAAGAACTTTATCACAATATTCTAATTTTCTGAGACAGTCCTGTAAACCTAAAGGATGAAACCCAACCGGTCTGCGCTGTGCGTCGTTACGCACCGGGAAGCGTCTGGAGGACAAATACAGGCAGAAAAAAAACACAAACAAAGGTTAGATAAGCATTTCAAAAGGTTCTGATCTGATTTAAACTATTTCCAGAGGGACTCCTAATCATTAACTCACAGATTGGACATTTGGACCACCGGTTTCAGGTTCTTATTTAGGCGCCTGTTCTGGATCTGTGAGGACTTCCAGATGCTTTAACCTGCAATAACCCGCACTCCGGAGGTTTCATCAGGTCATTGAACGCGTCCTGGACAAACCGGTTAGTGATTGGTGGGCCTGGGCTGATCCCATGAGAACAGATTTTTTATTATTTCAGTTGGAATGATTTCACCTCACAGTCTCACGCACACACGGATCATTTTTTAATCACAAAAGGATCATTTTCGGTGTTCTGTCATGTCCTGGTCTTCTCATTTCCGGTTTTATTTTGAAAGGTGCATCCCCTTGTTTCCGGTCACCTGCACCTACCTGTGTGTCACCTGTCTCAAGTCCATCTGGCTGCAGACTGCAGGAAGCCAAGGATGGATATCCAACTCAACCCATATCCAAGTCGGCCATTTTGATTAGGTCACCAATAGGAAGATCCCAGGCAAGAAAATCCTAATTGCTTCATGGCAGTATAGACATTAATTTAAAAATAGTGAAATGAATCTTACAAACAATGAATTAAACTCTATCCATAATATTATGTTAAAATAGTGGATGTTAAATAGGTTTGTACAATAAGTCCAAACAAGTTTAACCAAAAAATATTTATTTCTCACAATTATGAAGGGTGGAGGGTTAGGGTTAGAGTTAGGGTTAAAGTCAGGGTTAGGGTCAGGATTAGGGTTAGGGTTAGGGTTAGAGTTTGGTTCAGGGTTAGGGTTAGGGTTAGGTTTAGGTTTAGGGTTAGGGTCAGGGTTAGGGTTAGGGTTATGGTTATGGTTAGGTTTAGGGTCAGGGTCAGGGTTAGGGTTAGGGTTAGGACATCGTTTATCTTCTGATTTCGAATAGACAGTAAAAGTTTTGTTTCCACCTCAGAAAGCTGCTAGTCACATGACCTAATCAAAATGGCCGACTTGGATGTGGGAGGAGTTGGACATCCAGCCGAGGCTGCAGACACCTGATCACCCTGATCCCTGATTGGTTCCCCTGGGGTTCCCTTCATGTGTTTAATAGTCTGTGTCTTCTTGTCTGGTTCCAGTGGGTTTCATCTTTTGACCTTTGACCTCATTCTTATTTTGTGTCCATAGTTTTTTCCTCCTGAGTGAGTGAGGATTATTTTGCTACTTTATTAGCCTTTAGCATTCTCGTTATCGTTATTGTTATTTTGTACTTTGTCCACAGTTTAGTTCTGCATAACAAAAGAGAGATTATTATTTGGTACTTTGATCATAACTTTGTCTTCCTGGTTTTCAGAGTATTTATTATTTTGGAATTTTGCTCCTTTGTTGCCATTAAAATCTAAGTTTTTCCTAAGAGTTCATAAAACATGTTTTGAGCCCAGAAATAAAGAATGTTGCATTTGTTTTCCACTTTAAAATGACAGAAACTGACCTTTAATCAGTATTTAGGGATTACATCAGAGACACACTGAAGAATTTGAACACGACGCACAGATTTAAGAAAAA